GGTCACATTATACAGACACCATCAAATTGAAATGCCATGAACTCTAAATTTCTATGTAATAATCCAATTATTATGACTGTGAATTGAGAAAAAAGCAGAAGTTACCATATCCTACAATTACAGGAAGTAACCCCTCCTCCACTTGATAATAACTGTGCTGCTTCAGTAAGTAAATAACATCTTTTCAGGGTTAAGATTAGATATGAAATATCATCTAATGTTAATATTAAGTGGAAAACAAAAAGTAGATAAGGAGTTAAGATTAAAAGATTTAAGAATGTTTTTTGATAGTTGGTTTTGACAAACCATTCTAAGAGAGATCATCAGTTTCTGAAAATCAGATCTAACAGAAATTTCAGAATCACTTCAAAGCCAGACACAGGACTCCTGCTTTCAGAGAGGAATATTAGCTGCTTCCTAGACAAAACCCTCCATGCCATACATTTACTGGAGGTATGAGGCATGAGCTACCCTTATGGTTAACCCAATCGTAAAAAAGATTCAACTGTGAACATTTTTAAAATATTCTGTGCCAAAGCAAAATTTAGTATGTCACCCGGGCATGGTGGTGCACACCTGTAACCCCAGCACTAGAGAGGCTGAGGTAGGAGGATCACCTCGAGTTTGAGACCACCCTAAGATGCAAAGTGAGTTCAAGGCCTGCCTGAACTGCTTAGTGAAACCCTGTCTCAAAAAGACCAAAAAAAAAAAAAAAAAAAAACAGTATGTTAAAATAACAGTGATTCCTAAGAACTTGAAAGGAAGACCATCTACCAGAACTTACATTGCAAAGTCAACAAATCTCAACCATGTCCATCTTTAGCCAAATGGAGTAGCACTTTTTCAGGCCAGGTGGACTGATAGGACTGAGTATATTAATATACTGAATGAAGACAGGAATAAGGCATATACTCTAAGGAAAGTGGTACATGGAGATTATTGTAACCTGGTACCACTAAATGTTTTTGTTATGTAGAATTAGTTATAGAACTATCCCTTCATGATTTAAATCCCTTTTCACATGTCCTTCCCTTGTTGTCAAATCTACGTGAAGCAAATATACTGGCTAGTAGTGATATTTCTTTTTATGACTAAATAAGTTGTTAATAATAGTAATACTCCCATTTGTATGACCTGTTTTAATGTTAGTAAGATCCTAAGGATGAATGCATTTTTTATTTTATTAGATTGAAAGCCAAAGCTGTACAACAGTGATCCCCCAAGGCTACGTTAGTTTTTAAGAGTGTTTTTGATTCCTTTGGAGATAGGAAACCTATCTTCCCCCAAACAACATACACCATATAAACTACTGCTTAATTCTAACTTTTTCGATGGATATACTTATATTGTATATACACCACTGAATTGTAAGTCAGGTCCTATGATGAATAGGATCGAACAACACCAAATCACACACAAAACAATTAAAGACTTGTTATGATTTGTGTATTTGTTTCTAGATGTCCCTACAAAGCCTCATGTGGTCATAGAGGCTCTTTCAGGGGTGGCTTAATCTAGAGTATGTGATGGATTCATGGTACAAAGCTAGGATTAAGAGTGGGTGATTACTACATCAGTCCACGGATTGGCTTGGCACTGCCCTAATCCTGGTAACCTGGATTCAATATAGGGGACAAAAAGAAGCTTGTCTTGTCTCTTGCTTGCTTTGGTGCCTTCTGCCTGCCATGAACTGTTTCTCCTCTGCACTGCCACGTGGCCAAGTGCCACCCTGGGATGGAGCCAGCTAATTATGGGCTGAAACCTCCACAAACTGTAAGTCAAGTAAACCTTTCCACCTTTCACATTGGGTGCTGTGTATTTTGTCTCAGCAGTGAGAAAAGTAACTAACATAGGACTCATTCTGGATCTCTCCTCTTCCCTTGTTCCTCTCCTAACATCTCTTCCTCATTGTAACTATTTCTTAATTCACGTTTCCCTTAGCTTGAGAATGATAACTGTTCTTCTTTCAAACCATCTCCCACAGCACTGATCACACAGCTTTTTAAAAAGACCAAACTAGTTACTTCCTGTTTAACATCTACAGAAGCCTCGTTTTCCCTGTTCGATTCTGGTCTCCTTGGTTAGATATAAAAGGCCGCCCACAGTCCGGCAGCCTGAGCACACATCTAGGACTCTTGACTCGTTCTGGTTTCTCAGCCTTTCCTGGCTGCCCTGCCCCCCATGCTTAGCCACCTGCCGTCAGCTGGGGTTAGGGTTAGCCTTGTGGTCAGTCCAGGGTGAAGTCACTAAGCACAATACCATGTCGACTCCGTTACTGCAATGGTGGATACACTGTGCCAACTTGACAACTGAGAAGTTTAGAAGCTTAACTAAGTGACTCAGCAGGGGGCCTGGATCCTCACTTTGTAAACATCCTGAGCTTGTGGAGAAGGAGGGCATAGAATATGAGGGAGGAAAACAGGCTCGCGTCCTCCCTCTTTTGCTCTTGCTGCTTTTGCTGTCTTCTGCCGCCTTGAAGTGTTTCCCCTCTGCCATGCCACCCTGCCTTGGAGCCAGATAATTATGGACTGAAACCTCCACAACTGTGAGCTAAATAAACCTTTCCTTCTTTAACTTTGGATGTCACGTATTTTGTCTCAGCAAGGAAAGAAAAGTAAGCAACACAATTATATAATATGTACATACATTTTCCTCCTGAAGTTCTCATGTAAAATAAAAGTATAAGTTTTTTACTTTTCTGGACAGAAAAATAATACTACATGTTGTCTTCCTTTACTACTCAGTGTCTTAGAACTATGTTTACAGTTCTCATAGCCAAGGGGCGTATCATCAGAGTGTTTACATTTTTTTCAAGAGGTGCCAATTTCAGGTTGGCTCTAAGGCTGAGGTTGATGAGACTTCCCCTTCCCCAGAGGAGGCCATGTTACAAAGTTTCACACTGACAGATATAAGGGGAATTGAGGGGCAGTTGGGGAAAAGAGAGTGTTAAAACACGAAGTTTAAAAGAGTTATTTTTCAAAATGAAATGTACTTTCATAAATAGGTTTTTGCCAATGATGTATGCTGGCTTTATTTTCACAATGTTTACTTTCTTTCTGTTTTATGTTAGTTCCATCCTAATCCTAGTTTATCTCACTCATGAATCTAGGGCCATCCTCCTTTCAGTTTTTCCAGTCTTTGACATAATTGGGTTTTAGTAAACATCTGTCCAAAGACTGTTCCCAGGTGTGAAGTTTAGTACCTGTTATGGCTAGATCTAGAATGTCCCTTAAAGGTCTCCCATTCAGAGGCGGGTCATTGCCAGTGGGACTTGTCCTTGGGGAACTGACCTGCAAGGATGCACTGCGCTTTCACATGGCCTCTTCTCTCTCAGGTTCACCGCTGCCCAGGTGTAAGCATGACCCCTCAACCAAGTCAGTCACCGTGCTCTTCCACCGTGGCCCCAACCAACTCTGCTCCGACTCCCCTGAAAACTAGGAGCCCAAATAAGCCCCTGCTTTCCATTTCAGATGTCCAGTGTTTTCTCCCAGGTACAAGACAGCTGACCATTGCTCTGTAAATGTGTTGCATTTAATTGCTCTAAAAATTTACAGACCAAAGTCTGTAAATGTGTTGCATTTAATTGCTCTAAAAATTTTTTTTCTGAGAAAATTAAACAAACAAGATAAGGGAATTGTGAATGGGAAGTCAAGGAACTCTAGCTGCATCCACATCTGCTGTGATGGGTCAAGGCAAAAAGAAATTGGAGCTTGGGGCTTCTCCTCCAAACTCCTTCAAGAACAACTCCACTTTTTCTTTCTTTTATGTATCTATAACTTTATTTTAAAGATAAATACGTTCAAAATCACACACATTATCATTGCACACTGTGGAAACCGACGATGTTAGTATTCCTTCTCACCTCTAGGATGTTCTGGTTCAATAGCCACTTGCCATTTGAAAAGAGAATTAAAAGTATTATTTTCATTGACATTGACTAGGCTTTATTAATCTGCCACGTCTACGAATTTGCTTGTGGCACTGTTCTGTTCTATTTTTACTAAACTCGTTGAAATTCAGTACTTCCTATGCTCTTTGTCATTCGTAGAAATTACAGATATTTTTTATAAAACAATTGCATTTGAGGAAAAATATCGCCAGTTAGGATTTTGATCATCACTACGTTCAACTTTTAGTATTAGAACCATTTGGATCTTCATGTTTAGTCCCTCACTAAAGAAACATAGGTATTACTTTATTACAAGCATGTTTTAAACCTATTTTGATACCCAGACTTCAATATGATCAATTTTCTTTGTAATATTAAAGAAATTGCCTTGATAATATTCTGAGGAGGGTTTTATGGAGAAACTTTGGTCTTGCTTAGTGATAACAGCTGATGATCCTTACTTGTGTGTGGTAAGCAGGTATGGCTCCACAGGTATTTTCTATACCTGTGAGTGACAGATGCCAACCCCGCCCTGCTTAGTGAAGATGAGCACTTTCTCCCCTCAGCCTTGCATTCATTCTCTGTGTATTACTGCATTCCACATCTGCATTAAGTCATTTTGACTTGGCTTATGCAGAAAACAGCATTGGTAGAAGGTATGAAACAAATTTAGTGATTCAATACCTGTAAAAGGAAAAATGAGTAATTTTATATGTGATGATTCTTTTGTTAAATCATAATTAGGTTACTGGGCAGAATATAATTATTTGTAGACTTCTGTGATTAGACCTAGTTGAAGCAGGAATAAAACAACTTTATGAATGTACTGAGTGTGTATCATTTCTATTATTATCTTGCTTGTGGGCTTTCTTGGAAAAAAAATCCAAGAATAGCACACTCAGGAAAAATAATTAAATTTGAATATGGTTAGGAAAGTTCATGGCTCAGGGAAGATTGGTGAGGAAAGAGAGACATCGGAAGCGGTCTTGAATTAGTAATGATTTTAGGGATTGACAGCAAGAGCTGGCACCTTACTCTGGACAGTTTGTGCTGGGAAGGCGGCTGGACTAACACATCTGCATTCAGGGGAACAGCCACCAGGGTTTCCGGCATGATTGTGCTCATTTTCCTGGGTAAGTGAACTGTCTTTCTGGTTTATCTGAGTTCATCATATGCTGATTCTCTGTAAACTGAATACTGTCTCATCTAACACAAGCTTGTAAGAAGAAATAATAACAAATTTATAATTTCAAAGAATTTAATATTCTTCAAAAGTATATCTTTTTATTTGTTTATTTCTAACTTTATTGGAAAGGTGCCATGTGAGAATTAAATTAACTGTTCAAATTGTTTCATAGTAGAATATAGTTCATGATACTGCGTTATTATTAAGATTTATGAAATTACACATGTGCTGGAACTTATTAGAAATGAAACCTTCTGGTATCTATTTATAAGTTAAAAGATAACAAATTTAAAATTAATGTCTATTTTCTTTTGAAGTTAAATAAAACTGTGATCAATTTAAACCATTCAATTCACCTCATTTTGAACTTAATACTTACTAACTAGGAATGATTTAGTAAAGTAAAATAATACCATGTCAAATGCTTTACATTTTAATCAACTTTTATGAGTAAAAGTAATTGTTTTTCTCTCTGGTATTGGATTCTATGAATTTATTGTAACAAAATGGAGGAAAAGAATTCATTTGCACTTAACATAGAATACATGAAAATCTGCTGTATGTGTGATTGGAGAAATATACACACACACAACAACAAGAACAACATTTTGAAAGTCTGTAAATAGTGTATAATAGAATAAGGGAAAGTGGTGATTATATAACTGGATATTTTCTTTTTGCCCTAAGCTAACAGATAATAATGAACAAAGGCATGACTAAGGGAAAGAAAATAAGGTAGATTATTTAAAATTATGTTAAATTTAAGAAGGAATGAAAATAAATGATGTAGGAGAAAATTAGTTTTGAAGGAAAAGCATCTTTTACAAACTTTCAGTTTTTCTTTGGATTGAATAATAGTTTCACAAAGTTCCAAAATTTTGCTTCTTGTTCTAACTTCCAAAATAGTTCTTTAATTCTTCCACTGATTTCTAGTATTTCCTTATTCTTATTTTTATTATTGAGAGAAATTTAAAAGATCTTAAATTCCGTGCATCACGCAGTCGTGTGACAGAACACACATTACATTACAGCCTCTTTATGACTTGGAAAGGCAAAGGCCTTTGTTTTCACTTTGACATCAAAATCAAACTTGAAACCAGGATGCTTGAAAGAGAGAATTTATTTCTAACTTCATTAGGACCAAAATTATTTCCCACACTTCATTCTTCAGAGTTCTTGTTAATATCATATAAACAGTTTTGTGATAAGGGAAGTTTCTCTTTCTAAAAAAACCCAGGAAACGGTGATTTTCTAAACTCAGAGCATTTAATATGCTAATTGTCTCCATATTTGGTAGAATGACATACTCTACAGTATTCTTCATCTTATTAACTTTAAAATGAAGTATTTTTCATAAAGTATTTCAGAAGAATTTCTGGAAAATCTTGAGTTAAAGAGTTCTTTTGGGACTTTCAAAAAGAGGAAATAATTTTTCTATCTATGAGTGGAATATTGGAAAATATAGGGATTGATGTACATACTTTAGAACCCTTAGCTTAGAGATTTTAGTTCAAACCATAAGAGAATGAAATTTTCCACAGAAAAATGAAAACAGGAGAATAAGAAAGACATGAAGACAGAATCTAAATTAAAATACAGTGTAATAGATTTTATTTTAACCCATGAGAGAATGAAATTGTCCACAGAACATGAAAAAGAGGACAATAGGAAGGGCATGACAACAGAATCTAAGTTAATATTTTAATAAAGATTGAGAGAATTTTGCGAAGAGCTCACTATAGCCAGAATACATCAAATGGATAAACATCAAGAGATCTAGAAGAGACTGCTTCTAATGACTCACTTTTTCACTGCTAAGACACAATCTCTGACCCCACAACTTATCGGAGGAAAGGTGTAATTTGGCTCATAGCCAGCTGGCTGCCACGCAGAAGCAGCCTGGCATAAGAGTGTGGCAAAGAAAGCTGCTTGGTTCGTGGTGGCCAGGAAGCAGAGCAGCGTAACAGTGCCAGAGAGGAAGGAGCTGAGGAAAGTCTACAGCATCCCAGGTCACACCTCCTTCATGGAAGTAGACACATTCTGAGGTGTGCTTCACTAATCCCCTTGGCAGCTCCCAAGGTAATCAAGCTGACAATTTGAACCACCACATTCCATCACTTGCCAATTTGACAGCCAAAACATCTCCTTAGGCCATAATTAATCACCAAATGAATCCAATAAGAAGTTAATAATTTCACCCAACATGACACAACTATCTTGCATACAACCAAAAAATGCAGTAATTCCTTCCCCAAAGTCTCAGTGGTCCCAGCAATTTTCAAAGGTCAAAGACTCTTCTGAAACTCCAGGTAAACTCTTAATTGTGAACTCCTTTAAAATGAAAAAACAAGTTACAGAAGTGCAAGGTACAATGTCACTGATAGACTTTGCCATTCTAGAATGAAAGAATAAAGGAATAAAAAAGAATCACACTGAAGCAAGCCCAAAACTCAGCAGGAAAACATTAAGTCTTATTGCACATGTCTAGAACCTGGAGCACACAAAGGTGACTCATGAATTCTAGGGACTTGAGAGACTCCACCCTTATGGCCGTGCTGGTTACAGATTATGTGGTTTATCTTTTGGGTTGGATCCATGCAGCTTTCCTCTACAACAATTCTACTTTCCTGGCAACTGTAGTTTGTAGGTTCTCCATTACAACTTTGGCTTCATTTCCACAACTTTATGCACTGCTCTCAGCAGCTTCTTACCTGGCCTCCCTAGTCTTCCTCTGAAATCTGGGTGGAAGTCTTCCACAACTCTCGCATTCTGAAGGTCAATAAACCATCATATTTTAGATGATGCCAAGGTCTGTGAGGCATTAACCAGGACCCCTTGGGCCATGGCTGTAGTGGTCTGTGGGTGCCTAGATGGTTGTACAGAGTAAAATGAATCCTGGGGAGCCAATTCCATAGGAGGCCTTTCTTGAGGAACGGTCTCAGGGACTCTTCTCAAATGAAAGTGTGATACTTTTTCACTCTTGAGTCTGTTATACATAGGTTCTTGCTGATTTCTGAATTTCCCTCATGCTATCTTCTTGTTTCTGTAAAAGAACTTCTTCTCTTTTTTAACTGTGCTAATATATTTATCAAGATTTTGGCCCCAATTTTACAAATTTCCTTTTTAGGCCAATATTAAAGATCTTAAAAGTTTTAAAAAATTTTCTAGTCTTATTTTTGCCTTTCATTTCCACCATAAATCTGGATAAAAACAGCAATAGCCATGTAACAGCCTGAATGTTAGGCTGCCTTGAAATGTCCTCCAGCAGATCAACTATTTGTTGCCCTTAATCTCAGCTTCCTGGAAAGTCTTAGAACATGGGCAAAAATGTAGACTTCTTTTTTCAAAATGTAACTTGCTTGGCCTCTAATACATCTCCCCCAAAGAATCCTGATTCCAAAATGAAAACTCATGAGCCTGGTATTTACTGTCCAAATTCTTAGTGACAGAGTCTTCAGAGCAGAACTTCCCTCAACCTTTTGGCTTTCTGCAACCCGTATCTCCACATTTGTCCTGCAAACCAGTCCCAAAGGCTTCTGAGCAATATGGTTACATATCATCCCAGCAAGAACCCCATATCTGAGCCCAATTTTCTGTATTAGTCCACCTTCCCTTCCCTGGGACATACTACCTGATACCCACAACTTAAAGGAGGAGAAATTTAATGTTGCTTACAGCTTCCAGGGATTCAGTCCATGTGGTTTGGATCCAAGTCAAGAACATCATGGCAGAAGGATGTAGTGTAACAAAAGTGCTTAGGAAGGGCCCAAGGCCAATATATAGTATTCAAAGTCAAGCCTTGATGACCACCTCTGACATACGCAGAAGTATGTTTACTGATTACCTAGGTGACTCCTAAGCTAAGCTTAGCTATCTCTGTTACCAAAGGGATAGACAGTCTCAAAATCAAATAAATCCTTAAGATGGCTATTGGCAAAAAGAGATGAAACAAAGCCTTAAAATTATGAATTATGACATTAAGGAGGCGACTGGATACAACTGAAGAATAGTTTTGTTTTGTTTTGGTTCGGGTTTTTTGGCACCAGGAATCTAACTCAGGGTTTGTGCTTGTCAGGCAGCTGCTGTGTGAAGAATAGTTTTGCTAGAACAATACTCATAAATTAAAAATTAAGAAGTGAATAGATGGTGAGAATGAAAAGTGAATATGGTATTAGAGAAATATAAATTTATAGCAGATTACTTTTTACAATGTTTTATTTTCTATAATTCTAGTTTTTAGTATTAGTAACTTAGATTTGGAGATCATGGACACCAAATTGTAACGCTGCAAATTTGTCTTCCTGTAATTCTTTTGGCTGTTCAAGCTATGGGACTCAGCTCAGAAAATAAATCTACTTCTCATACTCAAGATTGTGCATATTTAAGGCAGCAATGCCAAAGTGATGGAACTGCATGTGAACATGCTTGGCGAATAGTGGAAGATGCCTGCGGTATTTCAGGTAAAGTGATTTGCTAAAAGTGAGCCGAGATGACTTCCTTTTTACAAAGATAAAAATAAAATTTGACAATGACTAAAAAAGTTCTGAGAACAAAGCTAGTTTTGCTATAAATACCTTATTTAATCTTAGCATTCAGTTGATTTACCTTCAATCACTGATTTGTGAATTTAGTTACAAAAGAGTATTATTTGTCTTTTATGGGACCTTATATGAGACTGAGGGAAGATATGTATAACATTTCAGGTAATTTTCTTGCATATCTCACATGGATAATACTACAATTATATGCATGCTTCTCAGAATCAGAGAAAAATATTTTCTAAATAAAATATCATTTTGCTTATATGCCAATTTGTCAATAAATAGCAAGAATACTTGTGATTACATTATATATACATATGCACAATATAAATTTTATATTCTTCGGATATGTTCATTATTTTCCATTCCAATTTTATTGAAAACAAATTAAAGTTTATTTTTCTTTTTAACTTGTTATACATTCCAAACATTTGAAAAAAGAATCAGGAGTGAAGATTGAAATTTTTTGTTAAAAAATTATGTCTGAATATTCAAGTACCTGAATAAACATTCAATAAGTGTTATAGAAAGGCTCCACTCGCTTGAAGATAGACATATTTATAAAGTAATTATGTAGTGGGCTATTGCCCTAATATTGTTATGATAAAATTATTCAAAAGACTACTCTAACATGAAAAATCATCTTGTATTATGAATATTATAATCCTAGCAAAATCTGATGAACTTTCTGTAAGCGCAAGAAAATTTAGGAAGCAAAATAAAAATGTGTTCTCCTGTAGTTTATTCCGTTTCTCCTTCCTTTTCATGCTCAAGACTCCTCCCTATCCTTACTTGTTTCTTTTCCCTCACATCGTCTAGGATCAAAAGTCAGAAATCTGTAGTTCTGACAATGACAGTGTGCACAGTCTCCTCAGAGGGCTTTCTGCCCAAGGCATGACCTTGTGAGACAGAGGATGTGGAAAAAACAGGCAGTCTCTCCTTTCCTCTGTCTTTGATAAAGTACATGGAATATTTGCATGTGAAGAAGAGTTGCAGCTATCTAATCTAATACCATATTACTGTTTAGGAAAAATAATTTCAAAGGCATACTTTCCTAAAAGTGACAGTAATTTTGAAATGAAGACAAAGAATAACCAGAAAAGTCTGCTTTGTGTTTTGATGATGAAACCTCTTGCTGTATTTTATAAAACATTTTAAAATTTGCATCATGAATTAAAACTGTTTGTGTGTTCTATGATACAACTAGCAAGTCATTTGCAGTAAATTTCTGAAATATTTGCATAATTATGCGGTGCATGGAGTGGAAGTAGAAATATCCTCAAATACATAAATGAGTGAACCCAAGTAGTTGTCTTGAGGATAATGAATAAAAGAAAACTAGGGTGGAGAAATACGACTTTTCAAATTAAAGTAGAAAGTTAAACATGGGTAGTTATAACAACTTACTCATTTCTTCAATAAAATGTACTGAGTACTTCTATGAGCCAGGACCACTTCATTTCTCATAGTAAATCTAGTGCCACCTACACATCTTTCAATAGAATCCTTGAATGACACACAAAGTAAAATATCTAAACTGACAAAATAGCTTAGAGAAAAGGGCTCTGTAGTTACCTTGTACAGGGGCAGCTTAACTACGGAGACAGGCAAAACTTGGCATTATCTGTAGGAACAAAGCTATTTTAAAATGCAGAAAGGCTCTTATGAGAAAAATACATTTAAAAAGTCTCTTATGGGCACAATCTTCAGCAAACCTAGATATTAGTACAAAAAATACTGATATTGACACATTAAAAGCATTTTGGGGGAACAAACTAAAATCTATATTCAAATTAACATCTGAAGTGTTCTATCTTTATGAAATCCAGGTGACTCCTGCAAGATAACTAATTCATCACACTGCAATCTGACCATCCAGTGCTTAGTGGAAAGTAATTTCCAATTTAAACGGTGTGTCTACACTGATGACCTCTCTTGCACTGTGAACAAAGTTTTTGGAATAAAATGCATCAATAAGTCAGGTAACACCTGTTGGTCTAATGCTGGCTTCATTACAAAGCTAAATCATGATATCTTATTCTTTTCACATGTTTCTGGGCTTAAATTTGTAGTATTTTGTTGATGTATCTGTGCCTATGCAGGATGTTGACATGTTTTTGTATAATATCTTTGTCTGGCTTTTTTATCTGACTGATGACGGCCCTTTTAAAATGAATTGGGAAGTATTTCCTTTCCTTATATTATCTGGATTAGTACACGAAGAATTGGGTTATCTCTTCCTTCAATTATTGGTTTGATTAACCACTGAATATAACCGACTACTCTTCATGGAAAGTCTAAATATAAATGCAATATGCTCAACTGGTATAGTAGTGTTCTTGGTATCTATTTGTCTTGAGTGAGCTTTGGCTGTGTCTTCCATTTGCTTCATTTATGTTGGAATTTTTAGTTTCTATTTTAACATTTCCTTTAGAGTTTCCATCTTTCTTGTAAAGTTGCTCTTAATATAATTTAGTTTTCCTTTAAAAAACCACTAGAAGTTAGTGTGATATTTTCTCTTTCATTGAGATTTTGATAATCTATGTCTTCTCTCTTGTTCTCTAATTTGCTCTTTATTTCTTTTTCGGAAGGATTAAATTGTTCTTTAATTCCTAGTTTCCTAAAATGAAGGGCTATATCACTGATTTAAGCTTTTCTCTTTTATTCATACAGGCATTTAATATTGTGATTTTTCTCCCAAGTACTGTCTTAGCTACATCCACAAATTTGTGTTTTAATTTGTATTTAGTAGTTCAAAATATGTTCTACTTGTCCTGTGACCTCCCCTTTGACTCATAGTGCTAAGGTAAGCAGAAACACTGAAATGACACCCAGGATTTAGAGGCAGATTAATTTATGTCAAAAGGCACTGATCTGGATTGTTGTAGTAGGGATTTGCAAGGGAAACAATTTAATAGAGGATATATAATTTATAGGATTATTTTATAATAGTCACCTAAAGAGTCAAATACAAAAGAGTGCAGGAAACCCATTCACACACTAATGACCCAAAGAATCCAGCTGCGGGCCTGATCCCAGGGCAATGTCTTGCATGAGTTCAACAGAAAACAGAGAGCCCATGGCAATGTCCTCCATGAGTCCAGCTGGAGGCCTAGAGCCATGACAATGCCTCATGCAAGTCTGTATCAAGGATCTGCACTGGAAAGGCCCAAAGGTCAGTGGTGGAAACCAGGAAGTCTGTGCCAGAGGGATGAAGGATGTGTGCCAGCAGGCTGTGCTAGAGCCAGGAAGAGATGCTTATGGTAAGGACCAGAGCTTCCCTGAAAAGTACCTCAGCCATCCTAAGGGATGAGATCCTGAGCTCCTCTGATGATCACAGCCAAGTTCATATCAGGAAAACCAACCTGACAGGCTTCTTCAGGAGAATGAGCAGTGCACCACCTTCCCTTCCGGAGCCAGGAAGCAAAGCAATGCTCAGAGTAAGGATGAAAGATCCCCCAAAGTGAACTGCAGCCATTCTCAGCAGCAACAAGGTTCCAAGCTCCTTTGACAGTGAGAACAGCTGAGTTCATAAGGGGAAAGCCAGCATGACAAGGTCCTCCAGGAGAACCAACAGCACCACCTCTTCCCCTTCAATTCTCCTTTCTTATTTTGTTGGCAACAATCCTCAGGTGGGCCCACTACACCCAGCACCACGCTGGTTCAGCTCAACTCAGTGTTGGCCACAAGTTGTCAGTCCACCTCAGGATCACTCCCAAAACATCAGGCCATGATCTCTGGTGGTCCAGACATCTTATATGGGATAAGCAAGTAGAATGCACAGAAACAGAATGGCTTGTCCTTTGGGGATTAGTTCTTACAATATGCATCATAGTGCCAGCTGTGCATCACGGCCACCGCTGTTTCTAAGAAACAAACGTAACAGGGACTGTAATTGGAACTATTACTTGGGCAACTAACAGACTGAACTATACTGGCTAAGGGGGCATCTTCTGCTACATTTCCCTCTCTTTTAGTTTCCTTGGCAAATCATTGCTGGGTATGTTATATGTGATATTCTGAGACAAGGCCCGACTAGAAGCAGTAATATTGGAGCTGTCAGTCTTTCTAGAATAGGCCCTAGCCAACATCTCCAAAACTGAGAATTCCCCCCAGGAGTTTCTGGTTTGTTTCCCTCATTATAGGGTTTTAGGAAGAGATATGATTTAGGCCCATCTTTCTGTAGCAATCCTGTGAACGGATTCTTCAGGTTTCAGCCATGCATGGACCGGTCAGCATCTGAAATGAGAAGGGCAGGGCTTTGAGTGTGTTGTCTCTTTAGAATGAGCTTCAGTGGAGCTGTCTGGTCCAGGTAAATTTTTCAGAAATTTAACAGGACTCCAGAATGGTGGATCTAAAACTGGAATTCTGACACTTTAAGAGCTGTTAATATGGTGTGTGCAGGGGCATCTACAGGTATAGCTGGTCTTTTAGCTAAACTGGTTACAAATTATCCCAGGAGGGAACTCTTTCAGAACTTTATGGCCTGTATGTCATATGTAATTTTTATTTAATCTTTTAAAAGTTCTGCCAGCTTTTGAATTATTTCTGCTACAAATGCAGGCCCATTATCACTGTCAATAATCAAGGACAGGTGCTATCTAGAGATGACTTCTCACAGTAGGACCTACAAACTTCTGTTGTCTTGGCCAGCCTGAGTGGGTATAGAAAAGCAGTAAGTCATGATAGCTGGAAGTCAAGGCCGGTGACACAGACTGAAGCCTGAGCTGTCTGCAGGGGTATGGGTGTCAGCACTGTGGTCTGAGCTTGCAGAACATATAGTGGGGGCAGGTCTGGCTCTGATGAAGGTGGATCTTCCAGGTAAATTTTTCTGGCTGAGGTTGATATTTTGGTCAATTGGATCTTAGAAGTGCAGGTTGTGTGTCACTGGTGGCAGGTTTCCAAACAGCAGTAGGAAGCAGTAGCAGGAAAGCTTTGGCCAAAATAAATTTTTCCAAGGTGACCACAGCATATCTAGCCTGTCAGACTCCATTCCTAGTACAGCAACTTCCATCCATAAACAGGGTGTACTCAGCATCCTTCAGGGTTCATTTCACAGGTATTCAGGAAGTATGTGTATGTGGCTCCTGGACAGTTAGGTCCTGGCCTAAGCTGAGCTTGTCAGATTTCTTGATCAGAAGGACAGTGGATATTAGAATGTGAAGGCAAAGGGGAGGCAGCCCTTAGCGATTGGATCCAAGTATCTGCACAGGTGGGCCACTGGGCATTCGCAGGGGCTGAGAGTCTGAGTACGCATCATTGTTTTTGTGAACTCAAGGCTCCAGATTCTATAGAAGCCAGCAGCTCTAGGAAATTTGCAGAGTTTCTTTCTTGTAACCAGTTTCTGCCAGATACTGCAGCAAAGCTTTTATGCTTATTTTAGCAGGCAGCCTGAGTGTCATTAGCCAGGTGGGAAGCTAGTGAAACAAATTTTTGAACCTTTGGGAGGTTGAGTAGGTCAGTTGATTTTTGAGTTCAGAACTGTCTTTCCATTTAAAGGCAAAGAGGGGCTGGCTGTCAGGAGCCAACCAAAGGCAGGAGAAGGCATTCTTTAGGTCCAGGCAGGTGTACCAGCAGGCTGTGGGTGGCAGAAGACTGAGACAACATATATGGAGGACAACTGCAGTGGCATGGGCAGGTTGGAGATCTTGAACTGGCTTTACAGGCAGGAAAGTGGTATTTTAGCAATTTAAAAGTTTATAGACATTTTGCAGTTTTGAGGCCTCATTTTTTCTTTCTCAGCAGACCATGATGGAGCTGGAAATCCAGTATCAGCTTTTAAAAGCTGTCACTGGCAGCAATGTAGAAGATAGGAGAAAAAGTAACCAAGAGATGCAAGCCAGGGCTACTAGTTAAAAAGCTCTCAAAATAACTGAGAGAGAGGTGACACGTGCCCAAGCTAATGCACTCATTCTGAGAATTATCAGACATACTGAGAGCATATTTATGAATTATACTCAACAGGAAATGATGACCAGTTGGATATGTGGAGTAGGAAGTGAATTAAGCTGACATTTAAAGGTACTTATGTACAATAAGATAATAAAGTTTTTAAAAAGTAAAGCGTTGGGGAAAAAAGTACTGACTTACACGTTTATATTTTAAATATAACATATATTTGGAAATACTGCATTTGACACACTTTGGGACATTGATATTAGGAACATTCTTTTTATATTCTTCATGCTAAAATACAATTTAAATCAAAGAATAAAGGAGCATGTTTCATCTAGTTGAAACTTGGAAGCAGGACCTTGAAATGAAGAGAAAATTAGCCAGCCATGGTGGCACAAGCTTGTCACCACAACACTTGGAAGGCTGATGTAGGAGGATCACTGAAAATTTGAGGCCAGCCTGGATTACAAAATGAGTTCAAAGCCAGCCTGAACTGCATAGTGAAACCCTGTATCAAAAAAACCAGAGAGAGAGAGAGTGAGAAAGAGAGAGGGGGCCAGGCATGGTGGTAGACACCTGTAATCACAGCTTTTGGGAGGCTGAGGCAGGAGAAGCATCATGAGTTTGAGACTAGCCTGAGCTACAAAGTGAGCTCAAGTCCAGCCTGAACTGCTCAGTGAGACCCTGCCTCAAAAAGACAAAAACAAAGAAACAAAAACAAAAGGAGGGGAGAGAAAGAGAAAGAGATAGAATTAAAATAGAGATACAGATCAAAGATTTTAAAGTATATAAAAACATGAAGGAGAATAAAACTTGCCAGGAAAGGAAATATAATGAGAAAAAAGTCTTTTAAGAATAATTTCATAATCTAGTTAAGGAAATGAAAAGTTTGTGATGATAGGAAAAGAAATTGTAATTGTACAATTTTTGAAGCCAGTGAAAGTGAAGACACAGAAAAAATAATTACAAATGAGGAAAAGTCAAATTTTGTAAGGCCTGAAAACAGCATAACTTTGCTAATTAGTAGGTCTACTAGTGTTAGATTGTAGTTTACAAAAAATATAAGCACACTGAAATGTTAATTAAA